CTTTATTGACCAGTGTAATTGTTAATAATAATTTTTATTAATTTATTATCTCCTTTTTTAGACAATATAATAATTTTTGAAATCAAATTAAAAATATTCTTTGTGTAATGCATATATTAAAAATATGATATAGTAGTTAAAAAATAAAGTTTGATATTAACTCAATCGCATATTCTTCTCTATAGACATCAAAAAGAAGTTATTTGGAAGTCATAGGCACATAATTCTGATTCAGTTTTATTTCTTCTACATGTTCGTTTTATACTAAAATTTATCAAACAATATTGCTGCAGTCATTTTATATTTACAACACATGGGTTAGCCTTTTAGAAAATTTAATTATTTTAGTGCATCAAATTATTCAGTATTCCTTTGATATAGTAAAATCCACAAAATGCAGCTTCCTTTTTCTGTTCAACGGGCTATTCAAAATAAACGTGCCTTTAAAAGCGTATCATAAAAGTTTCAATTAAGCCAACTATGTAAAATAGTGCAAGAAAATAATATTATTTGCCTTTGCCATAATTGCTGGGACGTAGAGAGATCTACCACGTATTGTGGAGGTCAAAATAAATCGATTGGATTCAATTTATACAGTATCGGCTATCGAACATTGTCTAATACGCCTTTGCACAAATGCGTGTAAAGAGTACAGAGAGTTAGCACTAGAGCAAGCAGGAAACGAATGATATGAGCAATACCAGTTTAAACGACCTGACTAACCTTACAACGCAAACGTATAAGTAATATTATATAAGGAATAGAGGTAATGAAATTTATGTTTTATGTAATCTGGATTCTGCAACAAACAAATTTATTAATATTCTAAATACTAGCGTTCAACATAGAACAATTTTTTTAAAAATCAAAAATAAAATAAGGAAAAGGTCAAAATGGATTACGCAATCATTAATTAAAGCTATAAATATTAAAAACAATTTGTACAAGACATTTAAACACAATCCTAAAAACGAGGAAATCAAGGATCGATATTTCGAATTAAAAAAAAAGTAGAGAAGCTCATAAAGAAAACAAAAATAGATTATTATAAGGACCAAATCAAGAATAAAAAAAATGACTCAACACAAATGTGGAAAACAATAAATGAAGTATTAACAATCCCAGAACCGACAAAAGTAGTTAGCGTAAAAAATTAAAATAATGAAATAATTACATCTACGCAGCAAATATCAGAGAGTTTTAATAAATATTTCGTTAATGTAAGTAAGTCCTTGGCAAATAAAATAAAGTGTAATAAGGATTACAAACCACCAAGGTACATAAATGCCCATTCGATATTTTTCTCTCCTAGTAATAATCAAGAGGTAATAAGAATAATATCGGACTTAAAAAACAAAAAAGCACCAGGAGATGACGGTTTGAAAGCAGAGACATTAAAACTAATTTCAGAATATATAGCTAGTCCTCTAACCAATATAATAAATAAAATGTTTCAACTGGGAAAATTTCCTACAGCTCTTAAATTATCAATCGTTACACCTATATTTAAAAATGGAGATAAGTCTGAAATGGGCAATTACAGACCTGTGTCCCTCATATCAAATATTGCTAAAATTGTTGAAAAAATAATAAAAATTAGGCTAACAAACTTTTTGGAAAAACATAACATATTATCAAACTCGCAATTTGGCTTCAGACAAAAAATGTCAACCCAGGATGCAATTAAGTGCTTAACAAAAAATATCTATGAAACATTAGACAAAAATAAACCATCAATTGGAGTATTTATTGATTTAGCAAAGGCTTTTGACACTGTAGACCATAGCCTGCTTCAATCATCTTTAGAAGACATAGGAGTGAGAGGTACTGCTAATGATTTGTTTGCAAGCTACTTAACAGGTAGAAAACAAAAAGTAAAAATCAAGCAGGATCTAAGTAGAGAACAAACTATCATGTGTGGTGTCCCTCAGGGAACAGTGTTGGGTCCAGTGTTATTTATAATTTACCTAAACAATTTGTTTTTATTAGAAGAAGACAACAAAATAATTAGCTTTGCAGACGACACGGTAATATTTTATACAGCTGAAAATTGGTTTGAACTAAAACAAAAGGCTGAGGTCCATTTATCCGAAATTAAAAATTGATTCGATCACAGACTACTTTCAATGAATTTCAAAAAAACTTTGTATGTACCTTTTAGTTCTCTAGACTCATCTCTTCCAAATTTTAAGTTAACAGTCCAAAACACAATTCAAATTCAACCTGCAAACCAAATAAAATATCTAGGTATTTTCATTGATAGTATGCTAAAATGGAACGTACATATTGATTTTTTAGAAAAGAAACTTAGATCAATTCTATATAGGTACAAACAGATCTCAGAGATACTGGATATTAAACAAAAAATTATAGTATACCAAAGTATAGTTGAACCGCATATTAGATATGGTATTTTAGGATGGGGCGGTGTTACTAGAACTCACCTAAATTCTTTGAAAATTCTTCAAAGAAGATTTTTACGTATTATTTTAAATAGAGAGGCTTTGTGTTCAAGTGATCAACTATATAAAGATACAAATATATTAGACTGTCGTCAGCTATTCTTTCTTCAAGCATGCAATACTCAGTTTATGACGAAACATTCCCTCAAAACTGGAACACATAAGTACGGCACAAGACAAAGGGAGGACATTATCTTGCCTTTTATGTTCAAGTCTATAGGACAAAGAAGTTTTAATTATCTGGGTCCTAAAGTTTTAAATTTGTTTCTAAAAAATACAGATAATGTAAATACAAAAAACTTGAAAAAAAAAATTCAACAAGTTCTGATGCAACTACCGCGACAAGAAATAAAAAAATTGTTAGATTAGGAATAAAATAGAAAAAAAACAAAAACACAAAAAATAAAAAAAAAACAACAATCTAAACGTATAAAAAAAAACGCAAAAAAAATTAAAGAAATCATCCAACAAATAGTATATTTCTTACAATTGTTTTTGATTTGTTTTAATTAATTTTTAAATTGTTTTTAATTTGATTTTAATTTTAGTTTTTAGTTTTAGTTTTAATATGTTTTTAATCATTAATCTATATATGTCTGTTTATTTTATTATGCAAAAGCATGCTTACACACAGACATTTTATGTCTCGTAAATTTTCTTTTATTCACATAGGTACCATTAATTTTCTTTTGTATCACAAGTTTTATAAGTATGTATTTATTGTTTTTATGTGAATAAATTATTATTATTATTATTATTATTATAAATAATATAAATTTGTTTAAATAAAAAAATTAGGTCTATTTGAAATATGCTTACCGACAACGTAAAAACATATTAGTTTATGTTATAAGGACGAAAAGTTTAGTTTTTCGGGCGACTAGACGAATAAATGTCGATACTACGGGGCAGGCGTCGGCTGTGAGAGAGGGCCCCAAAATTTGCACGTTTCCTATAACAGATGCAGGCTACTGCAGGGTGCTGCGTAGTAATATATATTTTAATTAGGTTCAGTTGTCTCCAGATCGAAAATTTTAGGTAAATTATTATAAGTTTTTTTTTACAAAAAAATTTAATTAATTTACCTAACCTGTGCGGCCTACAGCAATTTAATTTTAACTGATTGCTCTCGCACAGGTTAGGTAATTTGGTTGAATAAAAACTCAACTAACTTACCTAACCTGTGCAGTCTGGGGTCGTTGCGGTTTGCCTTACAAAACATATATTAAAAAAGTGGAAAATAACAATCTTACTAATTTACCTAAATTTAACTGATTGCTCTCGAATAAGTTGGGTAAGTTAGATACGTTAGTTAAGTTTTTTATTTTTTCATTTTTTGTATATTTGTTTTTGCGAAGAAACCAGCGATGACAAGTTTTTTATTTTTTCTTTATTTTATGTATATTTGATTTTTCGATTAATTGTTTTTTCTATCAAATCTATTTTCGATGAATTTTTTTCGATCATTGTTCCTTTTGATCATTTTTCTTTTCGATCAATTGTTATTTGATAAAATGTTTTTTCGATCAAATGCTTTCGATCAAATGTTTTCGTTTAAATGTATTCGATCAAATGTTTTCGATTAACTATGTGCCACCTATTATTTATATTGTATTATTTTTACTATGTCGAGATTAGCCTTTCTACCAAATTTTAATTTTCTATATCGAGTGGTTGTTAAGTTTTGGCCAATAATCCTATATCTAGGTAATAAGATGTGATATACCCATTATAAAGGATGATTTCGAATTATCCAGGTGCCACAACTACAGTGAATGTATGTACATTATATTCTGAAACACCCTGTACCTAGATAAATTGAATTTTAATATTTATTTAAATTTTAAAATGCACTTATAAATTAACAATAACAAACCAATAACTATCTGAAGTCAGTATAACTCACCTATCTATGGTAGGGAGATATGCCTCCCTGGGGCACAGCGTACCTTGAGGCACTGATTTTTTGAAGATGATATTTGAATTTAAGCGCTAAAATTATACAAAGTTACTAAGGTAATCATGAGGTGGCCGCATATGTACTATTGAAGATGTGTTATTAAGTTTGAAGACGTCGGTTACTATTTTGTATTTCAATCTGAAGATGGAGGATAATTCAAAGGTAATTTTAATATCATAGTCTTGTGGTTTGAATTCATAGAATTATGAGACCGAATCGTTGAAATTATGTATATTTTTGACTTATTTTACAGGAATACAGTTGTTATAATGTTTGGATAAAGATCAGTTGTTCTCATTTTTTACTTGCATTTTTACTTTGTTTCTTTTCGAAACATAGAGTGAAAAATAATGTAAAGAATCGACTTGCCTAAAATCGGCGCATGAGGTTCTGACTTAATTATTTGTTTCTACTTTCAGCTCTCAAACAGCACTGAGGACTTCACTGATAATCTGTGGTTACAGACTGAGTCTGGGATAAATATTCCAGTTCCCGATGTTGTAAAGAATTTGTTAAAAGTTAATGGATACACAAATAACGTACTTATCAGTCAAATTAATTATAGTACTCTTTCGTTAATGGAAGAATTTGCGCGGAATGATCTTCCAAATATAATAAACAAAGATGAGTTCAAAAAATACTATGAAATTTTCTCCGACAAACCCGACAAATTCAAATTTGTTATCGGACATCGTCAAATAATTAAAAATATTTCTGAGTTTTTTCAGAAGGAAGTAAATAAAATGAAATACGATGGAGTTAGGAAAAATACCACTAAAGATTCTTCCTCATCCACTAGTCAGCAGACGCGAAAATCGTCTTGCGACGAATCTTGTGACGAGCTAGCTGGTGAGCCCGTCAACCTACAGGAAGAAGGGCAAACATTATTCCGTACAATGAAGAGCTGGGCCCAATTAAAGGTCGACGCTGATCAGTGGCTTTCTTTCGAGAATAACTTCCAGAACGTTGGTATGGACATCAAACTGGTAAAAGGATATCCAAACAATCAGCTATATTGTGTAATCACATGTTTCTGTGGAAGCAAGTATAAACTTCCAAAGCTCTCCAACTTGCAATTGGACCTGAAGTGTGTTATGGAAGATTTTCCAGAGTTCAAGACTCCAGATAGTGAAGATACAGACAATTTTCAGATGGATCAGAATCCTTTTGAAGATAAGAATAAGAACGAAGAGGGTCTAATAGAAGATGCTCGAGGAGTTGAAACGTTCACTCATAAAGAGGATGTATTGGACCTGAAAGATTACTCAGATAGAATAAAAAGTGTAGACGAAAATTCCCCCTACGTTAAAGTTCAGCTTAAGGATAAGTCTGCAATTATAAAAAAATCCTCATACTGCTGGCTTCTTAGTGAATCAAACGGCCGAATCAGTAATGATCGCCTCAAAAGATTTATTGTGGGAGCAACTGGCAATACACTGAAAGTATCAAAATTGAAAAAAAGCAATTCAAAAATCAACCTGAAAAAACCTAAGCAAAACCGGACAAAAACAAAAGACATTGAAAAAATTACATCTGAAACGGATGTGGAAATAGCTGATGATGCATCAGATCAATCAGAATCTCATGATGTGAATGTGGAGGAATCCTCGGAGGATTCTATGGAGATTACAATAGGAAAATTCTATGCCGTTGCTTACGATATACAATGGTATATTGGAAAAGTTTCAGACATTGTCAATGGAAACAAATTCAAAGTCAAATTTCTAAAATCCGAACCAAAATCAGCAAAAATCAGTTTATCTGGCCTAAGCAAGATGACACCGATATAGTTGAACTGAAATATTTCTTTTATGGTCCTCTGGAACTAACAGGAAGTGTTCCTTTCACTTTAAGAAGACCTGATTTAATAAATATAGAAAAAAAATATAAAATAACAGCTACATAATTTTTTTGTAAAAAATTTTCAGTTCACTTTTTTATTCTGTATCAGAATCAATACTTGTAAAATTTTCTTTTATATTTTAGTTTATTATTTTTCTAAAAATAGAGATTATCTATTATAAATTTAAAATTTGGAAGTTTTAATTAATTAAAATATAGGCAGGTACAAAACCCTATTCTAATTCCAGGTACTTGAAAATGTTTATGAATCACTAAGTTTTGACTACGAAAAGTGGAATTTAACCAGAGGTATTAGTGGGTATTAGTGAGTATTAGTTGGTATTAGTGGGCATTAGTGGGTATTAGTGGGTATTAGTTGGTATTGGTATGGGCATTAGGGGCATTAGTGGGTATTAGTAGGGGTAATAGGGGTATTAGTTCGGCAAAATCGGGTATTAAGAGGTATTAGTGTACAAATTTTGGAGCGCGGTTTACCCCTCGAGTGTACCTTAAGACCTGTCCCAAGGTACACCGCCAATATTTTTTTTTAAGATACCTGTCTTTACAGCCTAGTTATTTTCTTTTTAGATGCCTAGAAGTAAACAAAATATACAATGAATAAAACGAATACCTTAAAATGTTGAAGCAGAAGCAGAAAATGTTCTTAGGAATGAACTGTCATTAAAAGAAGCAGCTAGAGAATATGAAATATTCCGATCTACGTTATATAGACACTTGAAAACACACGATAAAAACAGTAATCCACCATTTGTTTATTCTGCCTCCAATTCTGTAAAACGAGTGTTCACAAATGCACAAGAAGTTAATTTAGTTTTATATTTGACACAATCTGCAAGTTTGAATATTAATTTGTCTTTAACGAATTAATATTATGAGTATATCACCATTTCTCTATGAAGATTAAAATTCATAGGTAATTAATAGGAACCTCGAATATGCTCTGGAATACTTCTAAAAGCCATCAACCCATGTATATTCAATCAGCCGAGTGCTGAATATTTTAGTGCATCTATGAAGAGATATCTCTGCCGGAACGGATATTGCACATTCCTCTCAATTATTTAAGCAAAACTTTCCGGAGTTATTTGCTTTCATGAAACATGAACCTCTGTCGAGTTACTCTCGTCTATAAATTGATGAACAATATCAGTTTAAGGGAGGTACTTCTGCTACAGTTTTCATTTGCTTTGTCGATCCTACTTCAATGTTAAAAGTCGCGCCATTTATTCGCAATGTGAAGAGATTTAATATTAAAGGATTATTCTGTTGGAAATTTTGAAGTAGCTCTGATCTAAATGAAACGGTATAAATGCAACTAATCATTTCCAGCATAATTTAAATAGTTTAAAAGTGTTCAAAAAGTTATTGTATAGAATTCATCGTTTTACAAAAACAACAAAGAAATCGATAGGTATGTTCTAAAAGTTTTAAAACAAAATTTGTCAGAATTTTTTTAATGAAAAAATTTATTTTTACGTTACTAGTTATTATAAACCACATTTCGGGGGCAACCGAGTTGGGCCAACTACCTGCTACAATCCTCGGTAACCGCTTGGCTATTTTAATTCTTTAAACTCATTCAAGGGCTATGTTGAGTAAGGCCAGAAAATGAAAATTCTTATTTGTAAATAATGTTTATTTCATATAGGTTTAAATACATAATAAATTACAGGTTATATTATACTATTTGATGCATATTTAAAAGCAGTGCATTGAACAAAATTGAATCTACTTAACTCATTACATTTCAATTGTCGTTTTTCCGATAAATATAATTTTCTTTTTTCGTTATGAGGCCGTAGTTTTTTACAATTTTTACACATGTTTCTGTTTGAAAGTTAAGTAAAATTTCCACAAACTGAAAAATATTCAGATGGCAAGAATAAAAATGGCTATTAAATAATGAACGAAATGACTCACAAGAATTTGAATTGAATCTAAGGCTGAAGCCCATGCAAACGGTAAAAATGTAGCATTTGCCCCAATATCTACTAAATAGTCGCAAAATTCAATTACTTTTTGGTTACCTACTAGAGTACGATTCAACTAAGAAAAAGCCACACACATCATACCTGACAAAGGCCCCAATAATTTGCCTCTCTCTCAGGTCCATCCCATTAAAGCGTCAGTGTCGTTTTGGCGATTTTTTTCGTTTTTCTAATATAGAGATACAATTGCTTAATAATTTGGCAACGCTGTACGACTGCCGCATGGTCCAGAATATAATTCGAACAAAATCTATCGCGTAAACATGGATCCCTTATTATTGTGAGCCAAACTTCGGCGTTGCCAAGCTGTTACTTACGAATAAAAATACGGGTTCATCGGAAGAAAGTGAAGATAGCGAGAGTACTATACTCTGTTTTTAAACTAGGAGGGGGAATTGAAAAGACGCATTTACACATGGAAAAGTAACTAGATTTGTTACTAAGAGCGAGTTTCGAATTATAGTCGTGTTCAAAATTTATGAAATAATTATCTTTATCGGCCTTAGTCGGTGAACGGCCAATGAGCGGTTAAGAAACGAATAAATGTCATAGAAGTAATTTTTTAATTGGTCCCAGACAACGGTCGCAAATTTCACATTATTGTGATCTGAAATGTGTGTCTAAAACGAAATGTCACTGTCAAATTAAAGTCTATATGGTTGTTGATTGATGTCAGAAATACTTTTTTCTTGCTTTTGGAATCGAATTTTTGAGAATAACTATGATCTTTTTAAAATGGATATTAAATATTTAAGAAAATTGTTAATGGAATATCCAGATGTAGCCAGGTTAGTATAAAATATAAAGATCTGTTTACATTTTTAAGGATATATTTGTTATAGGTATAAAAAGTAAAAGTCTCCGAGCAATTACTAATAGAGGGAGCGTGAAAACGAGTTTGTAGGCGATTGTTGTGTTAGCAACATCTGTGGAGGAAGTGAGGAAGCGGGCACAAGGGGGAAGGTAATCATCCTTCTTGTTCAGTGGCGTATCATTTATCTATAAAAACACACATTGTCCAAACGTTTTAATTGTAAAAAACAACTAAAAAAATTTGCTAATTTTACTATTTTTAAAATGAATACCGTCTTATATGTGTTTAATGCAGGAAATGAAACAAAATCACTGTAAAGGTAAATTTTTTCAATTGAAGAATAAAACCTTAAAATCGATTTTATTATAAATAAATACAGGAGCGACTAGTTTCGGCCTTACAGGAACATCTTCAGGCCTGTAATACAATAATATTTAATTATTATAATAGGTTGGTCAATTACGAATAACATTAAATAATATAAACCACAAAAATGGATCCATATTGTAGCATTACAGCATTATAGAATTAAAGCTGTGAAAATAAAAGAGCAGTGCAAACGTAACTAAAAATAAGAAAACTGAGTACGGAATCTACAAGAGAAGAGGTGAGAATGAGCAATTACGAATGTATTTAAATTGCTCGGGTTAACAAATAAAGCTGATAATGTAGTGGTATAGTCCCCGTCAAAGAAGGTCTGGATAAGTTAAGGAGGACGGCGTTTTCTCTGTAAATCTGGAGAATTTAAGGATGGAGGGAAGGCGAATCTTGCTGGCTCAGGTGTAGATGGCTAGAAAAAGGAGCATGTAGATGAAATATCGTCACTTTCGTCTAATTTTTTATTCTCACTCACCGTTTCGGCTTTATTTTCGAAATTCATTTTTAAAAGGAAATAAAAGTAATCTTTTATACAAGCATATAATAAAACAACATGAATTCATTATATTTAATAAGCTAATAAACGTTTGTTTCACTGAAAAAAACATATATGTGAATATAAAAAATATATAAATAGATAAGATTAATATCAAAATTAATTTGAAGATATAACAGATAATAAAATGAAATAAATTAATACAAGTACAAATAGAAAGTTAATAACATACCTTCTAAAAGTAACACATTTTAAGTAGATGAAAGTTTAAAGAGTTTATTCCTGAACCTAACTAATCTAACGTTTTCCCCCTTTTTAATATTATGAGGGTTTTTGTAGTTGAAATGAAAATTATAATTTATTTTGGTCCTGATAAAAATTTAAACATAGGTTATCAAAGAGTAAATAAAATACATAATAGAACTTCATAAGTCATGACTTTGAGATCGGAAGGTCTCAGGTTCGAATCCCACCGTTGGCCGGGATTTTTTCATTTAACTTAATTATTTAAAATTAATTCTGATGTCTTGGTAGGATTCCCCACTCGACCATTCACTGTTGGGTTCTAATTAACAGTGCTGTTCCTAAAGTGGCGCTGGGAAACAGTAACAAAGCCTACACAGAACACGAGGCTAATGGCCGTAGTAGTCGACGCCGAGACACCAAATTAAAAAAAATAGAACTTCATAATCTTAAATCGTTATCAAAAATTAATAATGGTCAATCTTCAAACAATAATTAGATTCTTAAACAAATTTCTAGTTTTTGTTTTGCAAAAGACTTTTTTGCCTTCTTCGGTTGCCTCTGTCACTTTTCTTTTAGTAGTTTCGAGGAGAATTTTCCTATGGAAACCAGTAGAACCATCAATTGGTTAGTAAAACTTTGATATTTTGGGTATGGTAAGTCTTGTTAAACTTTCTTCTTAGGAAGCTGTAACCTTATGGAGAATATAAATTTAATGTTAGATCAGAAGCTCTTAATTGAGAATTATTTTTGCAAAGGCAGTTTTAATAATATTTTCCAAAGTTCTTGGAATCGTTGTTAACAGAAACCTGCAAAAAAATATATCATTTTATTCCTAAAATATAAGATATCACACAATGCACATTCATATATCATTGTGCTAGAAAAATACTAGGTAGGTACTGAGACAATTTAAAAAAATTATTTCGAGAAACTCAACTTTTAATGTCATCATTGTACTTAACTTTTTTATTGTTAAATTATTAATAATGTCATTTTGTGTAGTTC